TTAAAATGCTCGCCTGACCTTCTGTAGCAAAGGTCAAGGTCAAGTCCCAGCAACACGCTCAGAGCTCAACTAGCATTTTTGTTGCCATCCTCAAACATAAAGATTGTTAGACATCAAAGAAAACCTTAGGAAAGAGAGACCAGACCAATTAAAGGGAGGGCAGAACTTGGAGAAAACAGGTACTTTGCAGAAACAAAACAAAACAACCAAAACCAAAACCAGTATCAGAAAATCATAACCTTAAAACGGTTTGCACTCATGAAACAATGGGTGGGTGAATGTGGATTCTATAGGCCTTAATCTCTGTTCCTACTCTTTTAAGTTCTCTAGAAAAAGGAGGGCTAGAAACCAGCCAATTATATTCCCAGACCAGGCTGACCTTGAGCTCAGAAATTGACCTGCCTCTGATGGGTTTAAAAGGCATATGCCACCACACCTGTCTTGGCTGCTTTGAGTTAAGTTCTGTCATCTGGGAGATGCTTGTGTGGCCTGGAAGCAGGAGGAACAAAGGAGCCATCTTCTATTTTCCTGTCTTGGAAGTGAGATGCCTTCTTTTCTTGTCTTGTGCTTCTGGCAGCCAGAGCTACAGTGGATGCGATGGTGCTTTGGTCGAAGTGTGGGAGGCTCCAAGTTCCGGTTCAGCAGCAGTTAACACTGTTCTAGGCCATGGTGGCAGGGGCCATGATTCCTACAGAGCCATGGTGAAGTGAGGTAGATTTGGGGCACCAGCAGGTTCTTGATTTTCCTTTGTCTCCCCTACCTTCCTGATAATGTTATGGAAAAATTCTTCAAACTGCTAGGAGATCAAGCATTTACCCAGGAGAGTCTGAAAGCTCCTTTATTTTCTCATGCATGCGGTCCCAGAAGTAGCAAGAAAGGCTTCACGATTTTCTGGGCCCTGAACAGAGTACAGGTAGGATTAAAGAGGCATTTTACGTCGTCAGTTTATGGCTGGTACCTGGGCCCTATGTTTCTTTTCATGATGGACCATGTTAGCTCAGAAAAATTCCTTCCTGAGTTCACTCAGTCATCATAGCTTACAAAGTAGATATTCCAGGCTGTGAGTCAGGACATCTGCCACCTTTTAATTTGCAGGCTGAGCTAGAATTCATTCAAAAAGTCATTGAGGTATACAAAAAACAGACATCACTGGCAGGAGTTTAGATATGTCACATTTGATCTATATTTTTCTTGGATTAATTGGATCAGGTATCTCATTAAACCTTTTGGTGAACTTTCCATTCCTTTACATCTTTATCAAGGGTTAGACATAGTGAGTAGAAAGCACCACAGAGCTCCAAGATATTACAGAGTAATAAAACATCTCAGAGTACTGAAAACACCACAGAGCAACAGAACATTATACAGTAGTAAAGCATTCCAGAATTACATTTCAAGGTATCTACCTAGTAAGTGAAATGAAAGAAACTACAGAATAGTCTGAGTTTTTTTTTTTTTTAAAGTCTTCTGGAAACTTGCTAATATTAACTTACAGCAACAGTGATGGCATGCAAACTCAATCAGATAAAAACCCAGATCTCGAGAAATGGGCAGGAAGCCCCAACCTTAGCCAAGGAGCTATTGGCAGCTGATCACTGCTAGGTGAGGGAGAACTGATCTTCTCTAAGGGAGTGATACTAGATAGGCTGAAAGGCTCCAGTGGATGAACTCAAACTAAGAGTCATCTGGGTACACAAACTTGACTTGATAGGCCTTAACATATATGACAGAATGTGGGCTATGTGGGAGACAGGGGTGGGGTGGGGATGGGGGGTTGTGCAGGTGGGGGAAGGGGGTCTAAATATGAGTAAGATACACTATATGAAATGCATAACAATTCAATAAAAATATACATTAAAAAGTGACCACTCCCCATAAGCATGGAAAAAAATTTTACTGAAAGGTTGAGAATATTATCCTTATTTGTAACTTCACTAATACCAATATTAGTGTTAAGGTTCAGATAGCTCTGCCCCCTCCCAACAGGATCCCAAGGACTTCTCATGCTCCTGAGAAAAGGGAACCTAGCTGATAAGCACCTTGGCCTTTGAAGTCAACAGAAGCAGATTCTTCTAAGAGGCAGCCTGCCTTCCTCTGATCTCCAAAGACAAGCAGATCCTGCCTGTTAACCAGAGAGTTTAGGAGCTGTTTAGTACAGCCAGATCCTGGCTCGCAGATCAAACGGAGCCAGGTTTACAAGCCCTGCTTTTCTTGCTTCTCCCGCTTGATTTTTCCCCCCAAAACTTCCCACCTTCAGCACCCTGAAGCCCCCGTATATAAGCCCCAGCTCACAATCCGTGGGCAGACATTTTCCCTTCCCCGAAGGGAACATGTCCCCTGCGAAATAAAGCTCTATCCTGCTGAGAGTTTTATCTGTGTCTCGGTGCCTCATCCTCCATTCGCTCGTTCTCTGTCAACTTTTTACCTATCAATTAGCATTACTTATAATACTTATGCATCTACAAAGCAAAATTCTCAATATTTTAAGCAATTAAAAATATAAAAGAATTTAAGAAAAAAGATTATATATGAATACAGAAAGTTCTAAGAGTATAACTTTCTCTTATCAATATTATTTCAGTCTCCTCCATCAATCCCCCTTTGCTTGAAATAGCTAGACTGGTTGCTGTTTTACGGAATGCTGATTGATATTTTATATAGGAATAAATAGGTCTTAGATATTAATCTTTTTTTTTTAAGTAGCTCTGGCTGACCTGGAGCTCGAGCAGGCAGGCTACCTTTTAGACTGAGATCCACTTGCTTCTGTCTCCCAAATGCTGGGATTAAAGGTGAATTCCACTATATCTGGTTAGTCTTTAATACCTATCAGAAGCAAGCAGAAATAAAAAATTCAATGAGGTTATGAAACAATGAAATTGGGGTTAAAGAGATGGCTCAGTAGTTAAGAGTGGCTGCTCTTGCAGAGGACCTGGGTTCAATTCCCAGCACCCACATGGTGGCTAACAACCATCTTTAACTCTAGTTCCAGGGGATTCGACAACCTCTTCTGGCCTCTAAGGGCACTGCATGCATGTGGTGCATTTACACATGACCAGGCAAAACTCTCATACACATAAAAAAAATAATTAAAAAAAAAGATGAAATCACCCAGTAGAGAAAGGAAAAAAAGCAAAAACACCCCCCCCAAAACCAACCAACCAACCAACCAAAAACAGAGAAGCTGGTTATGCACTCCTCTAATTCTAGCAATTGGTAGCAGAGTTAGGAATATCAAGACCAGTCTGTGTTACATAGCAGGACCCTGTCTCAAAGGAGCAAACCAATGGGGGTTGGTTGGGGAGGGATACTACTTTTACATTATCATGACCACATGCCTGACAGAAGCAACTAGAGCCAGAGAGGTTTATTCTGGCTTCTGGTTCAGGGGATATAGTTCCTTATAGTAGGGAAGGAGGGGAAAAAGGGACAGTTCATGGCTGTACTGTGGCCACCAACCAGGAAGTGGGGACAGACTACAGCCCTCAAGGCCTGGGGCTACTTCCCCCAGTCAGCCCACCCACTCTCAAACTTCCATAACCTACCAAAACAGAGTTGCCCCCTAGGGATCAACTGTTTAAACACATGGACTGTGGGGTCCTTTTCAGACCCAAACCACAATAAAGGTAAAATACAAAAACTCAGGCTAGGTGTCATGGTACAATGCCTTTAATCCCAGTATTCAGGAGGCAGAGGCAGGCAGATCTCTGTGAGATAGATGCCAGTCTGGTCTACATAGTGAGTTCCAGGCCAATTGGAGCTATAGGGGGAACCTGTCTCAAAAACAAACAAAAAAACCCCAACATAAAAATTCAACAACACTGGGCTTGAGAGATCGTTTGGTTGGTAAAGTACTCCCCTTGAACCTTAAGGACCTGAGTTCCCAAGGACCCACATTTCAAAAAGTCAGGCATGGTGGCACACCGAGTGTGTATTCCAGTGCTGGGACAGCAGATCCCTAGGGCTCACTGGACTATTTACTTAGTGAGTTT